TAGCTTTTCTTCATATCGTAGATATGATACGTTCAGGGACCAGTGTTGGCCTAGTGGCTTCAGTACTACTCTTATCCTTGAGGTCGTAGGTTCCCTGGGTGTGCAATGGCATTTCTGTTTATGTGCGCATTTAAAATTCATTCGAAAGGTGAACAAAGCGGCTCGCATTAGACCCAAAAATTCGACGGCGGAGGTTGATCACCTTCTTGCCTATTAGGTTGACAAATACAGTAATCTGAGGCTCAGACCTAAAAAGGTTGTAGCACCACTGGTTTCTTTTTTCGTATCGGTGTATGTATAAAACACTCTTTTATTAAAAACGTATCAAAAACAAGTTTTGCTTTGCTCTATATTACTTATGCACTTATGAGAAAAAACGTACTAAAAACGCTATTACTTCGTCTAAGTCCATAATATGTCAAATCTTCGCAAGCGAGTTTGAAACCTTATTTTAATACTATTTCACGTAGCTCAGGAGATAAACATAACATTGAAAATAAATACAATACACTCCTAAAATCTATGTTTAAGGTACAATGAATCCCATACGAACGGCATAAGAAAAAAAACCTCAGTACCGTAAAGGTAGTCTGAACCTTCTATGTTTTTTAATTTTTATTTAAGGGTTAAGGAATAATACTAGTCCTCGCAACAATCATGACCATGCATCCTAAATGTATTATAAGAATGATAAGAAAAAAACATATACATATATCTGCGCAAAACTACAAATTTTCCGCTTTCACTGAAAACTTCATAACCAACGGAAAATTACGTAGGTTTAAACGTTTATCACTTTTACAAACCTAAAACAAAGCTGTCCCCACAAAAATTAATCGCAAACCATTCAGCTCTTTAATAGTGACAATATAATTCTCACACTGAGTTGAAGCCACTTCTCACGAAGTTATCATCTACGTGTCAACATCGAAATCATAAAATCATGTTATCAATACAAGATATGAACAGATAGACACAAATATTTACCGATAAGTATCTCGACATATGTTTTACATTCATAGTTAGTTCAATTTCGTGTAATATAGATATGATTGAAGTGCGTACAGCAGTACTGTGAACATTTTCCGCTCCATAAAATTTCGCCGAGTTGTTCTACCCTTGCATTGTTAATTATTTTCTTTGGTTAAACTTAACAATCACAAATATAGTATTTACAATTTTCTTAACCTACTCAGTAATAATAAAAATAATTAAAAATTAATAAAAAGAAAATTAAAACAAATATAGAATACCTTTAACGCTGGCAGCATTTCTTCGCTGTGTTGCAATACTTATTCGTTGAGCGAGGAAAGCACCAGCTCTGAGGTCACCGGTACTATCTACCAGTTGTCAACTTAAATCTTTAATTAGCGCCAGTGCTATTTATGTATTTACATTGTATATTCGCGGGCGCTTGGCGGACCCATGCGACTTCTTCAATACAAAAAGTCCTCCGTGTGCTGCGATTTCTCATGACATTTTCGACGCGATTCTTTTTCAATATTTTCATATGTGTTTGATTGTCCACCTGATAAATTGTGTGATGTTTGAGAGTATAAATAAAATAAAGTATGTAGAGTATTTGACACGTGTCGGCCAAGACCTTACGAGGTTGGTAGGTACAGTGGAAGCCTCTTCTTTGAGGTTGGTACGGTGGAAGATCTAAAAATCGTGTGGGCCACATAAGGCTGATCACCTACTTGTTAGCTAAGATTATCACATAGCAAATACAGACTCAGGGCAAGCCAAGGCTTGTTGCGCCAATTGTTTTTTCTGGTTCAACATGTGACCTTCATGTGCCGTATTTCGCAAAGATTTCGAACATCATATGAAAAAAGTTCATGTTATTCCCAGGAAATGGAAATGCGAGTCCTAGATTCAAATGGCTGTCAATCGAGACTCAGTTCTAAGTATTTTTGACATACCGATATCAAATTTATCTCCGAATGTTACTTTTGAATCAATGGAAATGAAAATAAATGTTGTCAATATAGTAGACATAATATACTACTTTTTCTCTCAAATCCTGTCACTAAAAGAATTATGAAATCTTTTACCTTTATAGTAGCAACTGTATATGGGTCAGTGACTGTGTTACTAATAAAATACACATTAATATTCTATTAGATTTTCAAATATAATTATCGTATTCTTTATGTAATAAAATATTATGTATCTAATACATTAAATGATTATAATATTACTTATTGTATTAGGTGAGCAAAATAATAATAAAATCTAACGTGGTAATTTTCGTGTAAAGTAAAATTAATTTTTAGATTAGATTAATTTTTTAGATAGATTTTTTCAGAATTTAATTTCAGCTTTATTTTATCTGAACTGGGTTTAATTTTTATAAAACATGTTATGTTGCTTATGAGCAGTATTGGCCTAGTAGCGTGCAACTCTCATCCCTGAGGTGGTAGGTTCAAACCCTGGCTGTTTATCAATGAATTTTATATGTATGTGCACATTTAACTTGCTCGTACGGTGGAGAAACCGGCATATATTATTTATTAGACCCAAAAAGTTGACGGCTTGTGTCAGGCACAGAAAGCTGTGGTGTTCTGCTTTCTGTGCCTGACTTACTTGCCTATTACTCACAAATCTGAGGCCTAGACCCAAGAGGTTGTAGAGCCACTGTTTTTTTTGTTTTGTTTCTTATAACTTATTATAATTATTTATTTAAAGATATTTCATTATTATAAAAATCTGGCAATCTTTACTGACCAAACGCTTTATCCGTAACTGTAAAACAATAGGAAGAGAATTGAAATAAAAGGATTTCGTAACGTATTCGCGCCGTTCAGACTTCGTTTTAATAGAGGTACCCACTTTCGCCAACTTAAATCTTTCGGCTTAAAAAAGGCTTTATATCGGTTTAAAGGGATATCAACGGCTTCGACTCGATTGGGTTTAACTTCCAAATTACTCGCTAAGAATAATGCATTATAAGATTACTTATTGATTTTTATATGGTGGCTTATAAACTTTTAAATATAGAGTAAAATTTGAATTGCATGTACGAATAAAAATTCTTTTAAAACAGTATCTATCTATAAAATATTATTTGCTTTTTATTGCGGGTTTCTTAATACTTTAGAGCAGTGTTGGCCTAGTGGCTTCAGCGTGCGACTCTCAATCCTGAGGTCGTAGGTTCGATCCCCAGCTGTGCTAAAGGAATTTCTTTCTATGTACGCATTCAACATTCACTCGAACGGTGAAGGAAAACATCGTGAGGAAACCGGCTAGCCTTAGACCCAATGTATGTCAGTCACAGGAGGCTGATCACCTACTTGCCTATTAGATTGACAAATGATCATGAAACAGATACAGTCTCAGGGCCAGACTTAAAAAAGGTTGTAGTGCCACAGATTTTTTTAACTTAATACTTTAATAATAATAAAGCGTTTTTATTTCCTTTAGTTCCATTTCAAATGTTGTTAGTAATGTTGTCAGTATTTACTTATAGCTAAATGTTAGTAGTAATATGTTAGGCGTCTGTCGATATGGACCCTTGGGTAAAGACATCCTCCAACCCTTTCCAGATGTCTCTATTGTGTGTCTTAATACATAATATACTGTTAAATAGAATTATTGGTCTATAATGGTATCTATTGTAAGGAGAAAACTCGGAGTAATTTAACTCATAAAGTATGTAAAAAATACACTGTACGCGCCAAGACTGTACATTTTGCGGACTCAGGCTTCCTTTTTTTTATAAGCGTGGCGATTACCTAAATCGTCGTGCGGCGAAAGTATAGCCCGACGTAGGCACTCTCTTCAACAGCTGCATTGCATTCATTTGTTTCATAGCAACTAACATTTAATTATTTCACATATATTGTTGTACGCGAATGTAAAAATAAAATCCTCTATTATTTAAAGCACCCCGATGACCCAGGAACAGTACATACACCATAATCAATTCGCCAACCAATGCGCTGAATGAATACCTAGATAAATCGTGGATTTTTCCACCTTTTCAGCTTTATAGGCAGACTGACAACGCTGTTTGAAATATGAAAGTTGGGTCATATATTTCCATCAGCCGTTTATGGCGTTATATTTTACAATGTGTGCTCCTTAAATCACGATGATAATAGGTTGATATAGAGCCTCATTAGAAAGTTTTTAACGTTTTGGTAAAGTTATTGCAATTTACGGAGATTGTAAAGTCTGAATCTTACAGGAAAGAAAAGATTTTGTTTCATTATTTATGATTGCTATATAAACTAAATGTACAGAAAACACCACAAAACCACTAAAGGGTGTCTTAAGGGCCGCACCACAGTACACATTTAAATTCCTTATAAACTTAAAAAAGAAATACAATTTGTACAAAAACGAAACGAAAACATAACAACAAACAGAGATAATAAAAATCCTTTTTATACCTTATACATATCCTTCATTTAAACATAACCTGTATTTTACGTCGTTTGGAACTTTTTAGAGATACATCTGGAGGTCCAACGGTAATAGGTACAGGAGTATTTTCTAATAACAAGACGGTTTAACTCCTACCTCTTTTAAAAAAGTATCATTTTATTCAAATATTGTTTATTCGTTGATTTTTTTAATACTAATAAAGACTAGATCAATTACTGAATTCCCTAAATTCATTTCTCTCACCTCAGTCATTTTACATAAACTGTATCACTTCAAAGACAAACTAAGAATGCCTGTGTGCAAGTGCCATCAATTCGTAAACAACAGAACGAACTAAATGAACTAATGCACATGCGCGCTTATAGCGAAATTCTTAAGAATAAGTTTAATTATTTATATGTTATTTTAAATTAATATTAAATACTAACAATAATAAGAAATATTTGCCTTTTTTAACAATGTTTGTAACTGAATATATCTTTTCCAGGCGGAGAATGCCCAGCGCATAACTCCGTTTACCGTCAGTCGCTCGCGCGGCCTTTTCGACCCCGTGACCAGAAGGCATCACCATTCATCTCCGCGTGTACAAGGAGGCCCTGGCGGCCGGAATGGAGCCGCTCAGCGAGAATGGGCTTTGTCTCAGCGAGCTGGAGCTCCATGGTGGAGGCCACTTGCACGAATCAGTGGCGGCATCTGTCGGGTCCGCCATTTCCAGCTTGATGGCGCCCTTGCACCATGAACCGCAGCATACCCCGTTACACCATGCCCCGCCATTGCATCATGAACCGTTGGAGAAGCTAAAACGTGAGTACGAAACACTTATTAGATAAATGTTTTGGTCGTAGCGCTGTTTACCGCAGAGTTAACTGATGTATGTTTCCTTTTAATTACGTTAAGAATATTTGACGTAACTAAAAATAGTATTCTACAAATGAGTGAAATCATTCTTGTAAGTTACAAGATCTACGATATTTGAGTTTAGGGTATTCTGAATCTACATTAATTGGTTTGTTTAGATAAATTCTTTAATAACATTTTGAAACATCATAATATTAGTTTCTTATATTTCGACCAAACAAAATATTACAATATAGGGATCTATAATATGTGGAAACGACAAGTGAAAAAAAACCTAATATACAAAAAATGGTTATCAAACACAACAATATACCTAAACCAAATTACTAAACAGACACACAGGGGTTTAATTTGCTCTTTATCCATTTTTAATTATTGTTAGTGTATATGTAGGTAAAGTATTGTCAATACTGTATATATTCGGAATGAAATATACAATTTATTATGATTACAAAACTTTGTACTGTGTCTTAACTGTCTTTGTCCAGAGAACGACAGACGAGGTAGCGACATAACATATTAAGTTGTAAGTTTCGACCAACGCTATTTCGATTGCGTAACACTTTAAACACTTGTCTAAAAGAAGTGTCTGAAACAGCACGTGTATATCGATCATGGAATAAAAATTGGACGGGCGTCATAGGCAATGAGCCGTGACGAGATGTGGGTGCAATTTGACATCACTTTGTATACAAAATTAGGGATTATTCACCTCCCTCCTTTCACCATTGATGAGAGATGACATGCAATTATATCATTCTATTTGTGATAAGATACACGTGCCGTTATCTAAGTATCCTTATTCTAGTATCTGCGTTTAATCTTGAAAGAAGCCGATATAAGTAGGTTTCTAACATTGATAGTTTTATCTAGATAATTACGAAGTACCTAATTCAATTCTTACTATAGGTATACTATGTTCTCTGTTATATTTTTATAACATCTCATAGTATCATCTCCTTTCAAAGATATGGCGATAATTTTGGCTACTTTAATTTTGGTTGCCGCGCTTCTAAACAATGACTCGGTGCTTTGATCAAACCTTTGTCTAAAGGTTTTCGACCAAGACGTGCGTGTGCGGCCAGGTCTCCTTCTACCTGCCACTTTGCCTTGTATGATTAGTTGGAGCTCGTATTTTTTGGTGTTACGTAAGACTTGTCCGAAATACTCAAGTTTCATTTTCTTAACCGTCGAAAACAATTCTTTCTTCTTCTGTATACCTACATTGAATCTGTCGTAGCACATATTTATTTAGATAGATGCCAAACAATAATTTATAATATAATATACTAACATCTACTAGCAAATTTCATTACGACTTAAAAAATAAAAAAATACATTCACCTCGCAGTCTTTCCAAACCTGTCACAAATGTATTCAGTTCTGAAGGAAACGGTTACAGCGTATGCGCAGTATTGGTAACTGTTGGTGGAGCACATTTCGTGAACTCCACCTACAGGCCTTCAGGCCTCCGGGACTTGAAATACTTTTCAGGCACAGACAGTCTAAGCAATGAAAGCAGGCCCATGCAGTCTTCCCCTTCAAAACATTAAGAGCAAAGTACCTATGTACGTATATAAAAATGATACGTTGGTTTGTGTACGCTTCAAAAACTCAAAAAGTTCTGCACCGATCGAGCATAATCCGCATCAAGATAATTTTTATCAATTTTTTGTTGTTTTTTTTTATCTTTTCATTTTTTTTTATTGCAAAATTTTGTTTCTCATTTCTCAACCATTCAATCACAATGTGCCACAGCGAAGTGTGGCAGGGAACAGCTAGTTATGTATAAATATCCAAAAACAAAAGAACAACTCAAAGCAGTAAACGTGCTGAATTTGCGTAATAAAGGTTAGGTTAAACTACGAAAAATATAACGCCACCTGATTATGTATGGAGAAAATAGCAACGATACAAGGGAGACTAATCGGATAGTTTTTACAAACACATCAGTATCGGATTACGCGCCCCTTGCATCTTTAGTTGTACAATTAGTCGTCGCTTGAGGGTTGAATAACGCACTGAATAGTGCTCTACCTTTTTTAAATAGCACTGAATAATGCTCTATTTGTTTTTAAATATAATTTAACTTGCAACTAGTATCTGTCATTTACATCTTTTGACTGTATTAAATTTTTTTGATAAATGTACGTTGATTGTAAGTATGTAGTATGTTTGGGGACTCCTAGATTGATGGGAAATAATTAACAAAAGCAATTTATTATAAAAATAAATTTCTTTAAAAAAACTCATATTCGTCTCATATAGTCTCTCATATTAGTCTCAAAGTCTCATATTAATTTATTTATATAGGCTTTTATTCAGAAGGCTCTGGGGTTGTTGCAAATTCAAATCATTTGATGCCTTGAATATACAGATCGGTCCACGGACGGCGCATGCTTAAACACTCATCAAAAAATACACGTGTTATTAATGGTTATTAAGAAGGAGGTTTTTTCCTTCGGATTTTTTAAATTGATTAGCAAAAATATTCGATCTACAAATTCTAGTTTTTTGAAGTCAAAATAAACAAATTTTGCGATTGTCAAAAAAATATAAAAACAACATCGATTAACGATCCATCACTGACGCAAAAAGTCAATTTCAATAAATTATCTGTCGCTCCATCTCTTTCACACCCATACCATCTCTTACAAAAATTACCCCCGAAGTCGACGAAGCATTATATTGCGATGATTAGGCTCGCACTTGCTCCGCCATTGAATTTAAATGGGGGATTAAAAATCCACTGCGTTTTATTTATTAAAAGCTATTGTATACGAGTTCATTAGTCAATTGCTGTCATCATTGATCACTGTTTTGTGAAAGATATTTTTATAGTTTGATTTATCTAACAAATATCTAAAGGGCAAAGATATTACGTGAATACTCCGTTCTATATTTATTTGTTAGCCTAAGAGAAATTTAACACTAAAGCCGAATCAGTGGAGTTTTCTATACCTATACGCAGTATCGCATATGGTAAAGGCAAAAATCGTCTTGAAACTGTCATTTTTTTTTTCGGTCGATGTGTCATATAAGGCGCAACAAAAAATTGTCAAAGGAATAGGTGCAAAACATCACCTTAGTTATATCTAGCTTTAGCACGAGTTGCCTGCAAGTCTGTTACTCAGGCAATTTATAACGGAAATTATGTTTTTTGATTTCGTGGTTGAAGGATGAGTAAATGAAGAAAAATACATTGAGCCCGAGTGACATTGTGCTATTGTATTGAAGTTCCATACAAGATGTATTACTTAAGTAATCGTACCATCTCAGTATACAGCTGACCACGACAGTCAGACATGAGTTTCTGACCCAGGGAGAGTGACACTGATTTAGTTTCTATAAAAAAGAAGGCAAATTTCGTAAAATTTTTATGCTGGCTCTTTTAAATAATGATTATATATTTATAACTAAAAAGAGAATGGATAGTAGCCAGTAAACGAGCCGTAATGTATTTATAGGTTAAAATATGCAAAAAATATGAAAGGGAAGGTTAAAAGGTTGATATTATTAAAAATATACCGAACATGCGAACGCTGAGTATATCCGTCGAAGATTGTTCTCATATCCAGATTTTTATAAAATACGCGAAAAACACGTTTCGTGGCTTTAATTTTAAATTGAGCTGGTTTTACGGATTCTTGCTAAAGCCTTCGTTGATTTTGTCTCCGTAGGTGAGATTTTTTCTCGTTGGCGATAACCCCACATTATTATGAGGTCGGAAAAAAATCATGAAACTAATTTTGGGGGTTTCAAAAGATCATAGGATTTTCGTTCATTCATTTTATATATAAATTTGGTATTTCCAATAATTGTGCTTTAAATGACTTAATTCAAACAATAGAATTATTCATGAACACTTATAGTCTAGTCGACAAGTTGAAAATGGAACAAAATAGAGATACTGCTCTTAAAATTATGTGCGATAGCTCATTCGAACCGGAATGACGCCTAGAAAAATGTGCTAAAAGCGTGTATTAGCACATAAAAAATTGCAAAAGTTATAGACCATTAAAGATGAAAAAAAATGGAATTTAGTTTTTTGCCAATATTTAATAAACTATTAATATTTAAGAAATTTCAAATAAAGATTCTGAAAGAGGAGGAAATTTCCAATAAAAAACTCTCAGCTCCCGGAACTCTATCTCCATTATTTATAACTTTAATTTAACGCTGAAAATAGGTCTGTGCGTGACATTTTTAGGATTCGCGCGTGGCGTCAAAAGCGACTACGGCACATTAATTAATTTATTTAAGGTATTGAATATTTTTTTTTAAATTTGAAAAAAATTATGGTGTGTTCTGAACACTATAATTAATTTATTCCCGTTGGAAATTTTACTTAAAGTTAATTTTTCAACAAGTTAAATAATTGTTAACTAACGAAATTTTCTCGAACGACCGTCTTAATTGTAAGTGAAAAAAAATGTTTTAATAATGGTCGTAAAAATATTTCGCTTCGTAGAGCCTTTCTTACATACATACTTAACAAGATCGTGCCATAAAAGTTAAAGAAATATTTATACTTTGTTTATAACAATTTTTTTACTTAAACAAAAACTTAAAAATCCAAGTAATGTTGTTAAAAATTTTTTTTTCTAAATCATCAAATTATCGTTTTTATATTAATACAAGATATTTATTGATTTGCAAAAAAAATTTCCCGCCATTGTTAATAATTTTTTTTTAAACAAATTGATTAAATCAATTGTTTTAAAAAAAAAATTCTCAACTTTATTACATTACAAATATTATGATTGTTTAAAAAAAAAATTTCCTTAATAACATATTTTAATTGTTTATAATCGTTTTTTTATATTTCTTTTGTTTAAATAATTAGTTAAGAAATTTTTTTTTTTTTAAAAAATCATAATTCACAATCCTCTATAAAGTAACAGAAAAAAATTTTTTTAATCAACAATTCTATTGTTTATTAACTTACCAATTTGTTATAAACAAATGTTCAACTTTTTATATTTTTTTCTAAAACTTCTAAAATTAACAAAAACAACCATATATAACAAAATATAGAAAAACATTTTTTTAAATTTTTTGATTATCATGAATATTACTTTTATTAAAAAAATTTTTTTTTTTTTTTTTTATAGACTTTGTTATATATGTTTGTTTTTGTTAATTTTAGAAGTTTTAGAAAAAAAATATAAAAGTTGAACATTTGTTTATAACAAATTGGTAAGTTAATAAACAATAGAATTGTTGATTAAAAAAAATTTTTTTCTGTTACTTTATAGAGGATTGTGAATTATGATTTTTAAAAAAAAAAATTTCTTAACTAATTATTTAAACAAAAGAAATATAAAAAAACGATTATAAACAATTAAAATATGTTATTAAGGAAATTTTTTTTTTTAAACAATCATAATATTTGTAATGTAATAAAGTTGGAAATTTTTTTTTTAAAACAATTGATTTAATCAATTTGTTTAAAAAAAAATTATTAACAAATGGCGGGAAATTTTTTTTTTGCAAATCAATAAATATCTTGTATTAATATAAAAACGATAATTTGATGATTTAGAAAAAAAAAAAAATTTTTTAACAACATTACTTGGATTTTTAAGTTTTTGTTTAAGTAAAAAAATTGTTATAAACAAAGTATAAATATTTCTTTAACTTTTATGGCACGATCTTGTTAAGTATGTATGTAAGAAAGGCTCTACGAAGCGAAATATTTTTACGACCATTATTAAAACATTTTTTTCACTTACAATTAAGACGGTCGTTCGAGAAAATTTCGTTAGTTAACAATTATTTAACTTGTTGAAAATTAACTTTAAGTAAAATTTCCAACGGGAATAAATTAATTATAGTGTTCAGAACACACCATAATTTTTTCAAATTTAAAAAAAATATTCAATACCTTAAATAAATTAATTAATGTGCCGTAGTCGCTTTTGACGCCACGCGCGAATCCTAAAAATGTCACGCACAGACCTATTTTCAGCGTTAAATTAAAGTTATAAATAATGGAGATAGAGTTCCGGGAGCTGAGAGTTTTTTATTGGAAATTTCCTCCTCTTTCAGAATCTTTATTTGAAATTTCTTAAATATTAATAGTTTATTAAATATTGGCAAAAACTAAATTCCATTTTTTTCATCTTTAATGGTCTATAACTTTTGCAATTTTTTATGTGCTAATACACGCTTTTAGCACATTTTTCTAGGCGTCATTCCGGTTCGAATGAGCTATCGCACATAATTTTAAGAGCAGTATCTCTATTTTGTTCCATTTTCAACTTGTCGACTAGACTATTATTGCATTGAATCAAGTTGGTCATACAACAACGATCCCACCTCAGTCGAAGTTCGATATGAGCTCTATTTATCCCGTCACAACAAAAATTGGACAATCTAATATTGTCTTATCTTGAACATATAATTACTACTTTGAACTTGTCTTATCGATTAAAAGTACATATGTTATTCATGCTTTTGTATTACAAAAGTCTTACTGAATTAAAGTTTCATACAAGATGTATTACTAGATATATTGTATCATTAAACTGTCACAACTGAGCGCTTCTTAAAGTACTTTGAGTGTTATACGTACTATGTGGAACCAGCTACCCATCGAAGTATTTCCGAATCAACATAACTTATTTGACTCTAGGAAGAGCGTACAAAACTTCTTCTGGTACACACGTGTTAGTTAATATCAGGTGTACAATGATCTCTTGATTTTGTTATTTCTAAATATCATGTGTGTTGATCAACATTCTTTTGCAAAGCTCCGCGAATCGAAACATACAAGCTTTATTTGTTGAGCTTATCAAGTCTCGTGCTTAAACTCATTCCGGAGGCTGAGTGAGACCGTAATCCGGTACAAATATTTGTGTTCCTAGTTCGTGTCGAGATTATCAACTTATCTTGGACGCCTAAATCTGACCTGTGTGATAGGGAATTTTAGGGTGTGTTGTACGCAAATACACTTTGTATGCACGTGTTTTAGTAGGATCTATAAATCATATTTGGGATGGGAGGAATTTTTTTGGGATGATATGTAAGGTTAAGCAGAGCAGTGTTGGCCTAGTGGCTTCAGCATACGACTCTCATCTCTGAGGTCGTACGTTCGATCCCCGACTGTGCACCAATGCACTTTCTTTCTATGTGCGCATTTAACATTCGCTCGAACGCTGAAGGAAAACATTGTGAGGAAACCGGCTTGCCTTAGACCGAAAAAGTCGACGGCTGGCGTCAGTCACCTATATGGTCACCTAATTGCCTATTAGTTTAACAAATGATCATGAAACAGATACAGAAATCTGAGGAACAGACCTAAATAGGTTGTAGCGCCATAATTTTTTTAATGTAAGATTAGGGTTTATGTGATAGAAGCATGAAT